ACCTCCCCGAGCGGGGGGAGGGGGGTTAGGGGGATCAGGTCCGTACCTACCTCGCTGTGCGGGGGGGGGTTAGGGGGATCAGGTCCGTACCTACCTCGCTGTGCGGGGGGAGGGGGGTTAGGGGGATCAGGTCCGTACCTGCCTCGCCGTGCGGGGGGGGGGGACCGCGCACACGCGGTGTAGGGGCTGAGGTGGGGAAGTGCGTGGGCGGCTGGTAGGGGTGGGCGGGTTGGGGGGCGGTGTAACCTTGTTGGGAGGGGGAAAGACGAATACGAACGAGTGAAGCTGCTGCTGCCAGGGCAAGAGTGTACCAGACGTAGAACTGACCAAAAGGCGTTCTTGAAGTGCAGCGACCTCGGGATGACGTAGTGAAGAAGATGTCGGAAAAAAACTACCTACCTTGCCGCCAAGACCAAAATAAGCGCGGAAGAAAAGCACTAATGCCAAGCCGTAAAGAAGTAAAGGTAGGTGTAGAGGCAGCGGAAAAGTAGTAAAAAAACTGCTGACGTGAAGCTGGAATAAAGTTTGCCGCCGGCGTGGCGGCGGCATTGACGAGGTTTGGCAAAGAACTGGCTGATTAGGTCGTAATAAAACGCTGGTGATATGCAAGTGCTCCTCCCAACCCCCCCAAAAAAACGCGCGACCGACCCGACCGACCCGACTATCCTAGTCCGGCTAGCCGACCGACGCAACGCGATATACCGATAAAGCATGAACCTCCTTCGGACTCACATGGCCAGGCAGCGGAAGCAGCGGACAAAGGCACATGCGAGGCGGAGGGGTAGGGGCAGTGAGCAACCCCCAACATCAATAGCTACTTTCCTTGCTTCACCGGTACCCGCTTACAGCCCCCCTGGCACACACACACACACGCACACATGCGCACAATACACGTGATACCCTCGTTCCACTTCATGGCAAAGGAACGTACCTCCCAAACCGCTGGAGTCACGTCCAGTTGCAGTCCAGTTGAAATCCGGTCTGTTTTTCCCTACCCCTGATCCGCCCTTCCTCCCCTTCCTCCCCTAGGAGCTCTTCCCCGTTGGCGCAATCACCCCCTTGACAACCCCCCACACCACCACAAACCCTCCCACACATAACCCCCCACACACAAACCCTCCCACACGTACCCTCCCAGAGAGGTTCGTGATCCCCGGTTCGACTCCACCTCGGGCCCACCTCCCACGGACACCTTTCGCCGGAGGTACGCCTTCCTGTACAACGAGTCCTTGCCTCAGGAGAAGTCCGAGCTGCAGGCCAAGATAAAGGTGGGGGGTGGGGTGTGGGGGGGCAGCGGTAAGCACCGGCCGCATGTTCCTCCATACGAGCCGGGGTCCCGGGGAGTCCACTGGGGGGGTAGGGGGGGTGCCGTGAGGGCACCTGGCGGGGTCCACGGTGCGGCCGCGGAGGGCATGACACGTGTTTGGACGTTATGGCGGTTTCGGCCCCCTCCCGTACGGCAAGGTCGGGCGAGGGGCGAGGGGCGAGCTGGCCCAGCACCGTCCTGCACTTTGGGCTGTGAGAGCAACGCACTTGCCCCCTGGTAAACACACCGGACAAGCAGCCCTGGGTATGTATGTCTGTCCGGGTCAGCGGCACGGCCTCGCGTGCAAGGTGATAGAGGGTTGTTGTGGAGGTGGACGTGTGTGGCTCCATAGGGCCCTACCCTGCATAGGGCCCTACCCTGCATAGGGCCCTTTTCGCATTGGTTTCTCGTGCCGGCAGCCAGCCCGAGGCGTCGGTTTCAGTTGCAAACCCCTATCTCCCCCCCCCCCGGTCCCCCGCACACACACACACACCACCGAATACTGCATCATCATGCAACCAACAACCGATGTGCTCCCAACTCGTGATGGTGTGTTGGTCGCATGATGATGCATTACGTTACTCACCCCCCAGACCCCCTCCAGTATTCCTGATGCGGTATACCTGCCTCAGTATCCTGGACTGCATCCGTCTATCTCTCCGGGGTATCTCTGCTTCAATCGTCAGCGGTCCGTCCCACCCCCTCTCCTTCCCCCCTGCGCCGCAGAAGGAGAAGAACCCCAAGTTCAAAGCGCAGCTACAGGTGGGTGGCCGGGGAGGGAGTGGGGATGGGGAGGGCCTTTGGTGGCGGTGAGTCGCAACTTGGGAGGCCACGTTGGGGCTTAAGAGTGACCCGTCCGCGGTGGGGTGGGTGGGTGGGAACCAGCAGCTGTGTGTATGCGTCCCGGCACCCCCCGCCGTCCCCAGGGCGGCGTGTG